TCAGCAGCTGGTCAAGACTGACAATCTTTAGCAGTTATTAATCAGCAGGGATACTTTGAGCAGAGTTATTATCACTGAGGAGTATGACATATGTGTATTTAATACAATGATAGACTCAGCTCTGAGTTAATTACTGCCTCCACCATCTGAACTGCATTTTTCTAGGTGGGTTAGCTGGTCACTACATCAGTTGTAGGAGAAAGGTGTTTTTCTCGGGCTAGTATTATTTGAAAGTATAAAGTGCTACTAGGCACAGAGAAGAAGCCTGGTAGGGTTATTGCTCAGTCTTGTTTTCCCACCCTTATATCCCTTTTCTTCGCCTCTTTCTCAGAAAGTCTGGTTGCATCTTGAGTCACTTCTTCCTATGATCTGACGTGTTTTTCACAGCAGCCATAGCACATGTATGCTGTGCTGCATGCTGGCTGTGGGGAGCTCTGTTGCTTTTCCCACCATTCCATGAAGCTCTGAACTTGACCCACTATTGACACCTTAAAATTTTTGCCCAGCTTCTCAGCTAAGGGCATTTCAACATCACACCAGCTTTCTAACCAACCACATGCTTTGTGCCATCCATCTCCTTATTGAAAGGACAGTGTACATGCCTAAGTATCAACAGCTCATTAAATATTTGCCCTAAAATGACTGTAAGAAGTCCCCTTCTCTTTCAAAGCAACTGTCGTATCTTCTGCCTTCTCTATTGCCTTGTTAGGCAATAAATAGGTGTATGCTCAGGGCAGCTCTGTCTCAGAGGGTAATAAATGCCCCTTATTTTGAAATGAAGTCATTTCTTTGAGAGCCATAAGCCTGGTTCCTATCCAGAAGGTAGGCATTCACACCCGTGTTCAGGGAATATTAAACAGTCCATGACCAGCAAGACAGTATTTTGCATGTGCTTCATACAGGTGTGAATATCCATCTAAAATACAAAATAATAGGGATTATTTCAAAGATTCGTCTACATTTGAGAAAACCAGCCTTTCAGGACAGTATTACAGTGCAATATGTACATTTTTTCCCTGTCTTGCTAGCTCAGCAAGGATTCTCCGTAAAGGGCAGACTTCTGACATCTGAGCATGGGCGTCTCCTACCCCTTAAAATGCCTGTGAATATCCCAAAGGTCTGCACAGGAAATCCCCATCCTTCTGGAGCAACAGCTGGAAGCCCAACACAATACTTGGCAGTGCCTACAATGACACTAGCAGTCTACTTTTAATCAGCTGACTCTTGCACAGTGTCTCCTATTCAGATAGTCCTCAGTTAAACAGTCGTAAATGTAGACGCATAGATGGTTGGCCACACTAAGGCAAGGGAGGGTTGGCCCATAGAGTAGGTCTAAGACATGCCTCATCTCATCCTCAGGTAAACTTCTACAATAATCTAGATTAAATTTTCTAACTGACTGTGAGGAATTTGAAGAGAAGCACAAAAGTGTTTGTTGGGGTCAAAGAGGTTTCTATGCCTCATTGGCTGGAGGCAGAATTCGTCCCAGTGGTTAGTCACCAGAAGCATGTGTGGAAAGGGAGGGCACCTTCACAGGAAAAGCAAATGGCCCATGTCTAATGTGGTCCCAAAGAGGGGAAGCAGGGAGGAGGCACTTGGGTAGATGTGCCATCCACAAAGCCAAGGAAGACCATCTGACTGTGACATCTTGTGTGGACATGAGCAGGGCAAGATCCCTGAAGAAAGACGAGGAAATAAGCTGATGTAAATGAGATAATGGAAGGGGAGAGAATAGAAAAAGCAGTGCTGTAATGCTGCTTTTCCTGTTGAAAATGCCTTTTCTAAACATAGCTTGTATTAGCCTTTCAACACTGACACATCATGAGGTCTGCTCTTTATGAAAAAAAGTCTTCTATGAGATGTAATAGCTCATAGCCTAGTGTCTGTCATATAAAGGGTATGCATCTTACATAAACATGGATTTTATTTTCCAGTGTTATAATAGCCATTCTGAGGCTGAATCTGATCGATCAGGAAGGTAGAGACCCACTGCCAAGTGCTGCATGTCATAAGGTCTCTCAAAAGCCAGGAAGGGCTGTTTTCCAAATGTGTCACTGAGTTAGCTGTCAAAGAGAAGTCAGTGGAAGAACACCACTGCAGTCAACAGTGAAACTACATCTCTCGTAGAAATACCTTGTCTGGTTTAAACTTACCCAGCTTAGCCAATAGTAGCAAAAGCCCAGGCAGTGAGAAAATACCATGATTTAATTTGTAAGACAGGACAGTGCATCCAAATCTGTTCCAGTGCAGGACATCCCCATGCCGCAGGGCATCCCTGGCTGCAAGACGTTATTGCCGTGTGCTCAAAATCGTGCATAAAAGTATCTTTTCTCCAGGTAAAACAAAAAATGCCTGGGGTGGTAGCAACTGCTCAAATAACCAAATATCCCTCAGCGTGGAGCAAAGAGTTGATCTGTTACAGGTCCCTCAGAGAAGTTACAGGTCTCTAACAAGCCACCACCACATTAGGGAAGGAGGTGGGGCCAGATACTAATACTGATGGATTTGGGTGCCCAGATCTGGGGCTTCTGCTGCCACAACCTGAGTTCACCACAGCTTCCTCTCTGTGACAGCAGCAGCTCTTCAAACTCAGCCTGGGGATCCCTGCCTGAGAGTCTCTGTTAGGCAAAAATCATGTGCACTTTTCGTGAGCAGCCTTTCCTGGTCCCGTAAAGTATTGCAGTTCCTTGTGACATGCTCCAACCTCATGCCTCTGCCATAGCTTCAATGCAACCGTCCAGAAAGGATTCTGCAATGTTCAATCCCCAAAGCAAATCCATGTTTGAAGAGCCTGTGGTTGAGATGCCTCAAAACTATTCCCTTACACCTCATGTCTCACCTGTGAGCTGCTGAATTAGGGCCAAATACCGATAGAGTGAAACCATAAGAGAATTCAGTAGCCCTAGTAGGGCTGAGTACACTCACACCAGTAAATCCCCACTGGCCACAGACACACCAGACAGGCGCTCAGGCTTTGGGCAAAAGAAATGAGGTGTGCCAGTGTCAGACAGCCATGTGCACACAATAGCAGGGAGAAACAAAGAGCATAGGGATGCCATAGGGAAGACGCTGCTGCATCCCCAGCCCTTGTCAGCTCAGCTCTGTCTCACCTTCCCTGCCTGGGAGTTAACTGCCTGCTCTGCCTCCACTTTCCCCCATCACCACCCTCCAGCAAGTCTCTGCTTGTGCCATCTGCCTCACAGGAGGGAGCTGATGTGCATATAAATTGATCAGCAGGAGCCCACGAGGGTTCCCAGTGTCACATACTGGTGAGTGCTAGGGGAGGATTGAATTAATTTTGAGTGATCAGTGGGGACAAGTCCCTCTCCAAAACATGTGGCATCAAGAAAACACTTTCCTCACTTCTCTTTTTAACCAGTGTGTTTCATAGCAACTGTTTTCAGCAGG